AACTATCCTCAGTTTATCTAGGCAGGTCTTCTTGCTCGTCTTCTTCTTACAGCTGGTCCTACTTTGTGCGACGAAATCCTCACTTGGTTGCCAACAGCGACTTCATCTGCTCACAGAACAACAGCTCTATTCCAAGGCTGGCAGACCTCTATCTATGAGATATGGAAAGAGAGAAATAGGCGATCTCATCTTGGTGTTATTCAGGCCCCTCCTCAGATTCTGGCAGGTACTTTGAGGGTGTTACGAAACAAAGCTTCGGCTTTGGAAAACTCAGATCGGAAAATGGGATCTAGTCTGCTTCGAATCTGGTCTTCAAGCTGACTTTGATCTATCTCCCCTGTTTTCTGCTCTCTGTTTCTTTATCTCCGAAGACTAATCGTTTGTTTATGCAAATGTATTCCATCCTCTTTTTTTTGTTACTGTTCCCATAGTTGTTGGTTCTAGTTTGATTCATGTAATAGTTTTCATTTTAATGAAAGCTTTTTTAAAAAAAAAATTCATTGAGTTTAATCTCTAACTCTTTTGAGTGTATACACATGTTATCTTCATACTAGCTTTTTCAACACTCATCAAAGTATTGTTCTTATTGTAGATTTAAATTTCAAAAAAGTGCATTTATTATTTTTCATATTTATGCATTGTTATGAATCGTAATTTAATTTTTAGATAAAAAATAAAAATTATCTAAAATCCAAAAATTTTCTATAATTGAAAATTAAAAATTCACTTATTTTTTAATAAAAATTAGCTTTACGTCTTCGACTAAAATACTTTTATCCTCTTACGTACATTTAGTTTATATGTTGATATAAGTTTAGTATTAGTCTAATTAAACCAATACAACATATTCCTAAATCACTTCAACTTTGAAGAAGATTACATTTGAATCAGATCTAATAGACTGATATATCATTTCAACGAATCAACTCTAAAACCTACCAATATTTCATTTCATAAAAAGAACAAACAAAGATTAGAAAAAACTCACAAGTTGGGAGATATGCAGCGGGTTTTATATATTCTATGTAATTATAGTCTTAGTTGTCTCTAACACATTCAATTGTTTTTTTCACACAAAAACATAAAACACTTTTTGTGTCTAAACATAATTATTTTTACTTTAGATTGTTCTATTTTTGGATAACTACTATTTTTATTACCAAATAAGTTAATTTAATATAATCTTAATAAAATTTATATTTTAATTTATATTTAAAAATAATTCCAAAAATTCTAATTTTAATTTAGCTTAGTTTTTATTTCAATAAATATAGATTAGGTTAGTTATTAGAATTCACAAAATTAGTTGTTATACTTTAAAAAAATAAACAGATAACATTAGTTTTGGTTTAATTTATAAATATCGTTATGATAAACGAACAGTTGATTATATTAAATTATTTCCGTGTGCAAAGGATAGAATTTAGTTTGTTTTTAAAAAATGGTACTAATAATTGTAGTTATACGAAAATGAACAAAGTTAAATTATTCATAGTATTTTTGTGCTCAGCTGATCAAATCAAATTTGAAAATTTTCAAATCAAAGTTGAAGAGTTTTAAATCATTCCAACTGTTTAATATTTTTCAAATATTTTCAAAATTTTTATTTCATTTATTCAATTAAAACATTGCTTTTTTGGGATACATGAATGATGGAATACTGAAAAGTATGATATATATAGATATAGTCAATAACCTAAGTACCTAGTTTGGTTCTATAGACCAAACTGGAGGTACCGAATTTACATATTTAATAATTTGAAAGTAGATCCGAGCACTTTTTGCTAGTGTGTATGCCTTTGTATTCTTCGCGTGTGGGACATGTAAAAGGGAAAAATAGCCAAATCTCTCCTTACTCTTCACGAACTCCTCCATGTGTATAGCAAACGCTGACCATTCATTAGGTGCAGACACCATCTTCACCAGATCCGAACAGTCTAATATTTATCTAGCATACAAAGCATAACCCAAATTAGAGCTTCCATCTCCACATGTAGAGGCGTGAGACTCCGCCGCACATTGCGTGCTCCAATTATCTTATCCATAATTTCTTCCTTAAAATAGTACCATCCTAATCTTGTTGATAGATTTATTTCTTTCCAAGACGCATCAATATAATACTACCAGCCGTCATATAAAATAGGTCTTAGTCCCGCACCAATGGCATTGGTTTGTGTACTTAGATCTTGATCCGATTCTTGGGCCTCCTCCCATAAAACCACTTCTGTTTCTGCAATTTTCAGGGTAACTTGTGGGTCATCATCCAGGTTAGAGTAAACTTTGTCATTTCTTGCTTTCCAGATATACCAAGAAATCCATGGGAATTGTTTATTTTTATTTTCTTTAGGCAATCTCCAAAATAGATAATCGAAATTACTGTAAACCGATGTCAATGAAAGCACATCAGATAATGTTGGTATCCAATATAGCGCCCAAGTTTGTAATGCAGGGGGACACTCGAAGAGTACATGATTAATTATTTCATATTCTGCTCCACATCGTGCACACTGAGTGTCACATTGTATACCCTGTTTTCGGATCCTATCCAACACTGGTAAACACCCAGATAATGTTTGCCAAATGAAATGTCTTAACTTTGGAGCGCATTCTAGTTTCCATGTATGCATTTGCAACGCCTTTATATCTGGGCCATAGAACACCTTTGAAAAACTATCTGAGAATTGTTGCTTAGTCTGATACACTGATTTTACCGTACACCTACCAGATTTGGTGAAATGGCAGCCAATAGAATCTGGTCTGTATGTCATACTAATAGGGATTCCACGAATAATCTCTACATCCACTGGATCAATAATTGCATTTATCAATTCCAGATTCCACGTATTGTTTCTTGATCAATCAGATGATTAACCATGAGATTTGGGTAATAATTAAAACCTTTTCAATTTGCTGATTTCGGGCGAGAAGATGGAATCCAGGGATTGTTCCATACCGCGATAGAACAACCCGACCCAACTCTTTTGATAAGTCCTTTGTTAACCAGAGATCTAGCTGAAATTATACTCCGCCAACATAGTATGGCGAATATGAGCGTATGGGGTCCAAGAGAGTTGTATTCCAAAAATATCGTCCCTTCAAGACCCTCAAAAAGAGTGAATTTGGCCTGTCAATTAGTCGCCATAATTGTTTTGCTAAAAGTGCCGTATTTAAGTCTTCCACCGTTCGAAAGCCTAGACCCCCTTCATTCTTACTTCTGCACATCTTATTTCATGCTATCCAGTGTAATCCTATATTATGACCATCAGAACTCCACCAATACCTTGCCGCTGCATTTTTTAGTTTCGCCATCGTTGTTTTAGGTAACCGAAAACATGACATAACAAAAGTAGGCATTGCTGATGTTACAGATTTAATCAGTACTTCTTGTTCCCCTTTTAATAGTAACCATGATATCCAATTATTAATCCGGTCGTGTTGCCGCTTTGCCTCAAAATGAAAAATCTTACTCTTTTCACCATCAAGACTCTCTGGGATTCTAAGATATGATCTCGTTCCTCCGTTACGATAGATTCCTAAAATTTTCTTCAGTTCGTGTTATACTTTTATCGAGACTGTATGACCGAATTGAATTAAAGATTTGTCAAAGTTAATTTGTTGATCTGAAACTCTTTTACTCTTTTATACTGATTTAATATGGTTAAAATCTTCTGATATTCCTTAATTTTTTGACATTCTTCCTTGGTTGCTTTGCAGAAAAATTAACTATCATCCACAAAGGGTAAATGTGTTGAAGTTTAATACTTGGTTATTGCAAAGTATGATATTTTAATGATTTTTAAGGGTAGAAGTCTAAACAACGCGTAGCACATAAGTGATGGTATACTGATCATGTGCCTTGATTTTCCTTATAGTTTGGTTTTTTTTTTTTTGGTCTCTCATGATTAAAAAGCAACGGTATATATTAATATGGTCTAACATAAAAGCAACGGTATATATTTAATATGGTCTAACATAAAATAGATAGACTGTGTCATGCTTAATTCATTGTTGGTTTTATTAAAAAAAATTTAGATTGTTAATTCGTTTTCTGAGAAAATCTATTTTAATTTTATAAATTTTGAAAATATATATTTGAAAAGAAACATGATGTCGGTTATGGACTGAAATCTAATGTTTGGACTGAAATCCTACCAAAAATTTCCGTATGTCATTCTCCGCTTCTCTGATTGAACCCATGAACTGTGGTCGATCCTAACACAAGATGTCTCGATTATCTCCAATTTCAGTCCACTCCAGAGCTAAAATGGCTTAGACCATATAATGTTACTTAGAACATTTGGGTCGGTCATCGGTAAATGTCATGTACTTCATGTTAGTTCGTGTCCGGTGACTCCCCATGGTCGATGTTGGTAAGGTGTGGTCGACTCATATAAAATTGGTTCGACTAGGGCTCCATCATGCATAATTCCTCAAACAAGATTGAAGTTTTCTTGTCCAACATGGTGTTCCACTTGAGGTGGTTGAGTATGGGCACATTTGACGAATGGATGATCAGATGGTCGATGCAGGTATGATTGCTCGTCCAGATACATTAGTAAGTTTTCTCAGCTTTCTTTAGTATTTCGCCATCATCACTCTTGACCAAAATAGTATTTGGTTCAATCCTCTTTATTCTTTTGGTTTGTTGGCTTTCCCTTCACTTTTAGACACCAAATTCATTCGAATAGGTTCTAATAACATCAATGGCAACTATGATCATGCCATGGAGGCAATGATCAAATTTATACAAATACTTTTGACATATACTTTTGAATCATAAGATTACAAAAATTCATAAATTTGCATGCTTACAACTTAACTTTCGCACACATGAAGATATTCTTCTTCTTTTTTTTTTCTTTTGTTAAAAGTGTTTTTACTAACAAAATCATTAAAAAAATGTACTCGGTATTAGGCATCCATTTATATATAAAACATTATTTATTTACATATCGACGTTACCATATAATTGCATTACTTGCCTTCATTTGTAATGTTCTTCACCGGTCCATGCTGGACGCTACAAACGGCGGCGTTTTGCTATCTGATCTTCCTTTCTCAATGTTTCCTTGCCACCCTTTTCCGAAGTAATAAAAATAGTTTATTTATCAATGAATGAACTAATTTAAGTATAGTCTAGAGAACATTTTATCTCTTACAGATTCAATTTCTATTTAAATCTTTAATAAACTTAGGATGCGATCACAGAATTTTTTTTTCCGTAAAGTACAGAAATTCTTTTACTTCAGGGGCTCATATCATTAAAAATGAAATATTTAAGGATTTTAAACAACTGTCAACAGAAAAAAAATTGTTTCCTCTTTTTAATATCTAGTATCTATTTATGTTCTTAGAAACCTTCCCAAACTCAATTTGTTTATCGTTAAGTAATATTAATGGTGACAAATAAGTACGCTTAAAACTAGAAATAGATCTTTGCTAAAAAGAGAAGAGAATATATATTAGTTACCTAGAGAGGGATCAAGACCTCGATATTTGAGTTCACGGTGTTCTTGAGAAAGAGCACATGAGCAGCAGAAGAAGTGGATGGCTCCATCGGAGCAAGGCTCCTCGGGTAAGAAGTATTGGTTCCTCAATTTGGCTCTGTATTTTGAAGCATAGTACCATCCACATCCAATGTGAGACATTGCTACCACCATTAACCCAGCAAGTCCTTGGCCTTTTTTAATCCATATCCATTAATTAATCAACTTGGTAACACTTGTTAAGTTGTTTATAAAATATATTACAAATACATTGCACATGTGTACATATAAAGGCATCGTGAGTATCTAGTATCACATAATTTGAACTGTATGTTTAAAACATATTCTATGTATGGAGGAAATCTACAAGATTATGTTGGAAAAAATATTTATTTATATATTATAGTATTATTAATTATGAACGATTAGAAAGTGATATGCTACCAACCCTGTAAAAATAGCATTAAAATTGTCTTTTTTTCGGGTATATTTCTCACACTCTCATTTACAAAATAACTGCAATTCTTTTCTTCAAAAGAAAAATTTATACGGAATAGTAAACAGTATACTTAAGTGGTAATAGTTATGAATAATAAGATTTCATCTCATTAGCGATGTGAGATTCTAATAGTATGAAAGGAAACGTACTTGTTTCTCCTTTGTCAAGAATCTCAGCGATCCTCCCAAATGCAACACAAGGACAAAACCATGTGAAGCAACCTTTATACCAATATAGTACAAGCAAAACCAAAGAAAATAGTTATATGACTAAAGGGAGTAATTTTTTAAAGAAAATCACATAAAAAACCTTCAAAGTGGCACCGATATTGTTACAAGCGATTTTCCCTTTTTCTAAGCTTGTATTAAGAAAATAGTTATAAAGCTAAACGATATTATTACATGTAGAGATATTTTCGGAGAAACAATCGTATAAACCGGTAGTCCATTGACCTTCAGTTATCTTCTTCACATCTCTGCCTTCATGTCCAGCCATTTTTGTTTTGTTGAAAAGAGAAAACTTATTGAAAGTGGCCTTTTAGATCGTTTGTAGTAATCTGTAGCTATTTATAGATCCTTGATTTAAATTGATTTATGTGTTCGGTCTCAATATTGAATATTGACTCCAAATTTTATACTCTAATCTTGCTGGTCACAAAAAAAAAACTAATATTTTAGGTACTGCAACGTCGTGGTCACTTGTACCAGAGGAGAAGACTGTTTATTTATTTTTGTTAAATGAGAAGACTGTTCTTTCCAAGTGATTTGCAAATCTTAAAAAGTAATGGAACCCAATTCAAATATCAATTTTATTTCTCTTTTATATAATTCTTTTGAGTTTTGTTATCTGTAAGTCTGTAACATAAATTCGAGCAGACCTATAATTTTTTTAATTTTTGAAAAGATCATAGCTAGTATTTTATAATTTTAAACATTTCATACATTTATCTGAACATTGCCTCGTCATTGATTTATGGTATTTTTAAGTTTATGGTTTTATATTTACTTTAAAACTAAGCACTTTTTTTTGTAAATCAAATAATTCTTCACTGTTCTCAGACGTGAAGTATTCCAAACTTCAATGTTCAAACGATATCAAAAGACAAGTACATACTCACAATTCACGCAGAATTTTCAATGTAAGATTAAATAAGTATATGTTTTTCTGTCTTAAGTAATGTAAGTCATTTGATTAAGACGATTAAAAGGTCAATTATATGTCAATATCTGTGGCATTTCCAACCATAATCTAATTGGACACAGTATGACCAAGTTTTTCTTCCATAATTTATCTACCTTACATTTGTACGTAATTAATTATGTATGAAATTGCATAAATATAGTAGTTATACTTCTTCATCTTTCGTTTGGTTTGTTTTCTTTTTATGGGCAATTCTCTTCGACTGAAGAAAGGAAAGGCTTGCTGCTTTGTCCATCATACAATCCAGAAGAAATCGAATGGAACCTTACCTGGCTAGAAATAAGTGCATATTTTGGAATGAAGCTTCGTCTTTCTGTTTCTACATATCCCAGATCCGCTCTCGCTCGCTTCTACTAACAGGGTCTCAGTGAACATATTGTCTTTTGCTTCTAAAATCCCCATCAATCCCACATTCATAATTGTGGTAATTCTTTTTTTTCCAATCGACTTAGGCACTTAGCATCTGTGTCACCCCTACTAATTAACAGCATCATTGATGTTGTTGTAGAGATCAGCTCTCAATGTTTTTTTATTGTTGCGATACCAACATAAACGTTCTTGTTCCATTGATGTATAAGCATCGACAATATACTGATGCAATAAGCGTTTTGATTGAACAATTGTCATCTCTTTTTTCAGTCGCGGCTTAATCTGATAAGTATAAAATTCTGGCTTACTGATGAATGTTCTCTTTTGGCTGATTAACCTTATTCTCAACTCTTGCAAGCCCCTTTTTCATATTTTTCTCTAGCTTTTCTGAAGACTTTGGCCAAACTGTTGTAAGTGTCCACTGTTGTGATGAGATCTCTCACAATTTTCTCATCTAGTGGCGGTAATTTGACTCGTACTTGTTGACAGCATATAGTAAATAGTGGAACTTTGTTTTGGTCTGTTGTTCCCATTTTCTCTTTTTTTCCACACCAATGCGTCATAAAACTGGCATTGTATCATTCCGTTAATTTTTTCGGTATAGCTTGTTGAAGATTCGGGTGTGTCTTCTATCCCATTGCCTACAAATTGTTGGTATTGTTAATTGTATAAATGTTAAATTTCACAATATATCTGAAATTTATTCACCATTTTTTAGTAAATGCTTTTCTTTTTGTTTCCTTTGTTCTTTTTTGGAAAGTATAATTGCTCACCGTATTTGTCAGAATTTCATTTGTTCATCTGCGTATTTTTGTTTAAATGATTATTTCATTAGGTGCACATGAGAATGATAGTGAATTTTTTAAATTTTGTTTGTCTATAGAGAAAATCGCATTTTAAACCCTGAGAGATAAAAAAATAGCACTTCAAACCTCTAAAGATTTACATTAGCATTTTAAATCTTCAAAAAAGTTATTTTAACACTTTAAACTTTCATTCTGGCTTATTTGTTCGTGCCGCTTGTAACGGCGGGTTACAGAATCTAACTTCAGTTATATATTTATTAAAACATACTTAATTTTAATTATTTGTTTAATTAAAAGTGTTTTATATTAATAAATGAAAATAAAATACAAGGGAATTAAACCCTACGACCAAATATGTCTTCATCTCTTTCCATGCCTCTTTGAAACATATGAACCTAAGCGATGCATAAAGCATTATTGCTTCAAACTTGCAGAAGTCAGCAAACAACTTCTATGTAATCTCTGAGACTTTCCATTTTACGATTTTACAACCCAGCTCTTCTTTGTAGTTGTAATCTTCACCTTTGTTTTTCATAGATCCACCATAGTGGATTCTGATTTTTACAGTCGAATCATCACTGTAAAGTAACAAAATTGAATCCTCAAACATCAAATAACGAATGTGAAACTTTCTAAACCCAAAATCCAACTCCAGTTTGATACTAATTTAAGTCTGGACAAATTCATGTTCGAAATCGAAAATTCCAAACCCAGAAGATATTATATAAACCCTAAAGAGACAAGTTCATGTTTGAAATCAAAAATCTCAAACCCAAAAATCAAACAATGAGTAGGAAATTGAACAACAGAGGGAGGAAGACACCATCCTTATCCCATTTCGACTTCAATGCATTCGACTCTTCCTTCAATTTCCTCCAATTTCTCTTTTTTAATTTTCTGGGTTTTTCACTTTGACGAACCCTAATTTCTTTAAAGATTAGTCTCTGGCATATTTTTAATTCATATTTGTATTAAAATAACAATGTTGTTGATTAAAATAATAATTAAAATTATGCACATTTTAATAAATATAACCGGAGTTAACTATTCCGTAACCCGCCGTTACTGTTCCGTCAAGTTTACAAGCGGCACGAACAAATAAGCCTTAAAGTGTTAAAAGAATTTCTTTGAAGGTTTAAAATACTAGTGTAAATCCTTAGAGATTTGAAGTGCTACCTTTTTCATCTCTCAGGGTTTAAAATGCGATGTTCCCCCTATATTTACCTCGACGTTGTGTAATCCGGGTCGGGCAATTTGGAGCTGAGATAGCTACACATGTATCGAGAATGGACGTTTTTGTAAGTTTCATGTGCTTTATATTTTCATTAGTTCACCAATTGTATGTTTGCCATTTGCGAGCACAATGATGCTGCGAGGAATCTCATGGGCATCAACGAGCAACTCCTCATCTCCAGTCATGTGATGAGATGCTCCAGAGTCAAGTAAAATTTCAACACAAAATCTCTTACCAGAAAGCTTGTCTTGAGATTGAGAGGTGTCAGACTTCAATAAATTGACGATGGCGGACCATGTTTCTTTGGACACACCAGGAAGATCAGAAAGGACGTTTTCAGTAGCAGCTTGAGCGTTGTTGGCTCAGTAGGAAGAGCGGCCACGTCCACGACCTCGGTTAGATCCTCGTCCTCGACCTCGAGATGAATCTGATCGAGAAGCAGCTCCAGATTCGCCGTGCTTCTCTGTGTACCATTCCGGTATACCATGAAGTTGAAAACAGGTATCAACAGAGTGGTTACTCCTTCCACAATGAGTACAAGGCCCTCGTGTAACTGTTGTGATAGCGGTAACACCGGATTTTATCGCAAATCCAACAGCTTCAATCCGTTCCTCTTTACTTCGAGTAATGATCTGCTCAAAGTTTAATCCCTAAGCTACTCTGCAAGAGCACAGATGTGCAGTTGTAGTATCTAGGGGTCGAACCACAGAAACAAGAAATCACTCAATAAACCTTATGTAGATGGAGTTACGCTAAGCCGAAATATGCAGAACAAATAGCAATGCGACAATAATAAATAAAGCAGCGATGAAAACAGTTGTAAATTCGATGTGATAAAGGATAGGTCTAGGGCGTTTTCAGGAGATCAGTGAATGCAAATCAACTTAACTAATCAGGGTTCAGTTATTAAGCACGGTTCTTGAACTCAAAACACAGAACTATAATTAACCAACTTCCGTTGTGAGAATTATCTAAGTTAAAATCCTAGAATTCCAAATTCCTTTGCAAATCCTACAGATTTAAACCAGTCTTAATTGCACAAGTTCGATATGTTCACAAAGCTCATAAACCAAATTCCTTTGCGAATAGTTACTTTGCTCAACTCAGGTTCTTTCCAGTTATTCAATTACACTTCCGTGTCAATTAAGCAACCTAAGATCTAAGTTCTAGGTGATCAGCTAGAATTAGCTTTAAGAACAACCTAAGGTGAAGAACAAATAGATATGAACCCTAACTAGCAAGTTAATCACACATTCAAAGAAAACCCTAATTAACCCTAAACCTAACAGGTGATCTACTCAGACATGGTTATTGAAACAACAAACGTGATGAATAGAAAGCAATAGATTAAATCGAAATAGATAAAGGGGTTTGAAGTCTTCTCTCTAAACGAACAGAGTACAGACTTGTCTCCCAAAGCTTAGAAATCGCAAAAGCCGAAAACTCAGAGTATCTCTCTCTCAAAAATCTAAGGTGATCGTAAAAAGGGAATAAAAATCCTATATATATCTCTAAGACACGTCTTGGGCTTCCTTGAAAACGTTTGGGCCCAACTCCTTCTTCAAATAGGAAACAAAATCGCCTTTTCCTTATTTCTCTGACAAGTGTCGAGCGTCACCCTTTATGGTGTTGAGCGTCACTAAAGCACAAAATCCATTCTTGACAAATTTGATCCTGATTAAGCTCCAAAGTGCTCCAAAGTCTCCAGTTAAGCTCCAAACGTACCTATGACCTGAAAAGACTCCAAAAGACTCGAAAGACACTAAAAAGACTCTATAAATAGGACTTATACCATGGTTAAAAACCATAAAAACCATGATATATCAAGTAACCGTTTGATGTCGCTCTTCGAAGATAACTTCAGAGTAAATTTGATCAAGAGTCAT